GTTCGTGGAGCAGGCTGGATTTCGATAAGGTTTCAATGCAGTAGATCACATTCATACACTTAGGCAAATAATTAAGAAAACCGAGAAATACAAGCCTCTATGCCTAGCGTATGTGGACTACGAAAAAGCCTTCGAAACAATCGATACATCGGCTGTTCTAGAATCCATGCGGAGAAGATACCTAATACGTGACCGCAAAAATGTCCGTCCGGTACGAGGTCAAAGCAAGAGGCTAATCCAAATTGGATTAGATTGCCCCGCAACTATTTACCAACACATTGGAGAACGTCTTTAAGACGCTGGATTGGAACGGACGGAGCATTAATTTTAATGGCCAATTAATAACACACTTGCGATTCGCTGACGACATTGTCATCTTGGCTCTCTACAAGAAACTTTACAAGATCTCGAAACCATGCTCAACAGCCTGAGTGTTTCTTCGAGACATGTGGGTCTCGGTACGAACCTTCAAAAGACAAAAATTAAGTCCATAGTCATATGATCCCGAGACCAGTGGTCATGAATTTCGCTGTGCTAGGGGTTGAACAGGAATACACCTTCCTTGGCCAAACTACACAATTAGGCCGCCAAAACTTGTTGTCATATAGGCAATATTCGGAAAGCTACACATTCTTGAGTCGTCAATACCGCAATGCCTCAAGTCCAAAGTTTTTAACCAGTGCGTCCTACCAGTAATAACATACGGAAATTAATAAATAGACACAAATAATGATTAAAAAATAGTATTAAATAAAAATATGAGAGATAGAGAAAATGGTATAATTATGTCGAGAAAAATTATTTAAAGTATATAGTTGTAAGTTTAAAGTATATTTAAAGTATATAGTTGTAAGTTTAAAGTATATTTAAAGTATATAGTTGTAAGTAAATTATTTAAAGTATATAGTTGAAGAAAATGCCGTCTGTTTTAATTTTTAACCCATAAAGGATTCAGAGCCTCGAATTTCATTTTATATTGGAAATATAGAAATAGAGATATGACGAAATGCAGTTATATACAATGATGAAACCAATTTAAAGTAATATATTGCAGCTGGCCATAGGCCCTGCATAATCAAGCCTCGGGGCCATGTACCCATTGCTTGGGCATGTATCTCGACCAGCGAATGGCTGGTCGGTGGTGAGGATGGCCAATGGCCGTCCCTTTCCCTGACCGCGGTAGCGACACTTGCGGGTGTACGGCTTTACAGGCGGTGTGTAACGCGAGGACGACATCGTCTTCGACACAGCGGCGGAAGTGCGGTCGGGTCTGGCCCCCCAATGGCCTGTTCCGACCGCAGTAGCTCTCGTGGGAGCGGGCGTCCGTCAGGAGGACGGGCATGGAGTGGAGCGATATTCTCCAGGTGTGGGTGTGGTCCGTTGTCGGCCCTGTCGTTCATGCGACGGGCCATCTGGACCACAAACTCCTTGATGGACTCGATCTTAAGGTCTCGGGCGATTACGTCGTTCCTGACGTAACACCCGGCCCCCACGATTGCTCGAAGGGCGAGGTTCTGCTGCGCCTGGAGCCTGCGGCTCTGCGAAGCGGAAACCAGTGCGTACCACGCCGGAGCGGCGTAGGTCAAGCGAAAACGAACGTAGGTTTTATAGACGCCCAGTTTCGTCTTTACGTTCGACCGCTCGAGCTGCCCTGGCTTGTCGAACTGTTTTCGACTTGGAGCGCCATACTCAGCGAGCTGTCTATCCGGAACACAAGGTACTTGATAGTGTTCTGGTTTGTTATCGCTTGACCTCGCATCTCAAGCGTGGGTTGGTGTTTAATGTGGTGGATGTAGATGGCGGACGTCTTGTCGACATTGACAGACATCCGCCACTCATCCAGCCACTCGGGCAGCAGGTCCAATTGGCGCTGCATCTTCCTCGCCGCAATCGCCGCCTTGTCTGAAGACGTGAAGAACGCACTGTCGTCCGCGGGCCAACAGTACGTCTTCATCCCAGTCGGAGGCGTTTTGCTCCAAGGTAGGAATGTCGTCCGTGTACACCACATACAGGTGTGGCAACAGACAACTACCTTGTGGTACACCGGCTTGGATGCATCGTACCGCTGATTCGGCTTCCTCGAAACGTACGACGAACTTCCGGTTCTCGAGAAATGACGCTACTAACAGCACGAGCGCACGGTGGATGGTGGTATTTTCCAGCAGCTTGTACAGTAGGCCCTCGTGCCACACTCTGTCGAAGGCCTTCTCCATATCGAGAAGGACCCCTAGACAGATGCGGCCCCTGTTGTACTCGGCCGCAAGATAGTGCAGCACTCGAACCAATTTAAAGCAGATCATAATAAAGAGTAGGTCAAGAACCATACCAACAAAAAAACCAACCTTTCTAATTATAGATCCCGGTGGCTAGAAAGTCGATTTTTCACCCAGTGTGCAAATCTCAATATCAAGTTTTGTTTAGGTATGTCAGAAGTGTAGAAATATATCGTTATTTATAAAAATATCAATAAAGGCCTCATTAAGGGCCCGTTGGTCAAAAAATAGTAATTCAAGTTTAAATATTTGACATGTTCCGCACATGTCAAATAGTCTCTGAGCCGGAAAATTTGAAAAAAATGTCGTTTTTGATATGATTTAGTTATTGAATACTTCATATCCATAATATATCGAATTCAAATATATCGATATTTAAAATGAAAAATATCGATATCTATTTTTTCTTCCCTCTATACCTAGATTTGTTTGGAAAAAGGGGCCCATTCACTATCCTGCCTGGCAGTACGCCGTGCAGGACTGCAAAGCAGGATGAAGCCCACACACTATCCTGCAAGCCGTCCATCATAGTGTCAGTGTTATTGTTATAATAATTATGGATTTACGTGAAGTATCGAAAAAAAAAAGAAAATTTTTGTTGTTAGATAAAAATTTTTATTAATAAATAACCTTTCCTCACATTATCATACCAATATACATAAAATTTAAGTAATAACCTAAGCTTTTCTCAAGTTGAACTATTTCAATATGAAAAAGTTTTTTAGCTTAGTTTTAGTTATCACATCAGTCGGGCTTCCCGGGATGCACACGTTTTTTTTTGTTTAAAATAAAGTACCCAGTCCTGTGTAGATTTTTTTCTAACATGTGAATAAAATTTAATTCCTAAAAATATTTCTAAAAAATTTCCTGTTACATAATTTCTGTTGTAAATCTGTACTGTGTAAATTTACGAAAAAAAACTCCTAATTTAGCATCCGTATTTTCATATAATATAGCGCAATTTTGCTAAGGGCTTAGTGCATATTTTTCTTCATATGGCAGCACTGCCGCTATGCAGGACGGCCAAACCACTGACGCTCCTGCGCGGCGGACTGCAAGCGGTGGGCGGAGCTTGCAGTTCCTTGCAGGATGCAAGGCGCGTCCTGCTCGGTGTTGCCAGAAACTGTGCAGGCCTGCAACACCATTCACGATCCTGCATAGAGCGGCGGACTGCACGGCGGACTGCCAGGCAGGATAGTGAATGGGCCCCTTAATACAGTATTTTTCAATAGAGATGGGTCGTATCGCTTTTTCTGAGAAACGTATCTGAATCAGATTTCTTTTTCAAATATCAGATTTCGAAACTATGTATTTTATTATCTAGATATTTTACGTTCGCGTATCCACCTTAAATTCATAAAAAAAAAGTGAGTGACAATATTTCTATTAATTAATAACATTCAATATTATTGTTTAGGGCGGAGGAATTTAAAATATACACACAAGCATAAGCCTTGGCCTGACGTCCACCAATGCATCACGAAATTATTAAATTATATTTTTCTTTTTCGTTTTGTGTAGTTTTATTTTTTTTTTTCAAAAATGCGAATAAAATTTAACTCCTAAAAATTCATAAGTTTCATCCCCTAATATTATTACGTGCTTAAGTATCAATGCACTTCAGGTCAAGGCTAAACAAAATTTAAAGACATCGTTAATACCATGATTCGTATTTAAATGAAACGGAGTTTTTTCCATTCTTTTAAAATTCAAAATTACTTAACTTATTCATAAAATCTGTTTGAAAATCTGATATTGTGCATTGTTTACCGTACCCCTAACTAGTGTAATATTTGTATCTCACGCGCTTTTTCGCTCGAAATCTGCTTAAAAATCTGATATTGTTGCCGTACTGATCTAACTAGTGAATATTTGTATCTCACGCGCTTTGTCTAAAAATCTGATATTGTGGCAATAATTTAAATGAAACGGATCTTATTTGCATGACGTTAAGATTCAAAATTACTTAACTTGTTCATAAAATCTGTTTAAAAATCTGATATTTTGGCCGTACTGCTCTAACTAGTGAATATTTGTATCTCACGTGCTTTGTCTAAAAATCTGATATTGTGGCAAACGCGTATGATATCGCGAGTGAGCGAGTATTCGGTACATCAGATTTCGGAAATATCAGATATTGTAAAATACATAGATTTTGAACGAGACGTAAGCGATTTTCAGATATTGTACCAATATATAGTTTTCGTATCTGTTACGATTTGTATCGCCCTACTTCTATTTTTTAACAATTTTCATAGATTTAGACTAGGAATTAAAGTTTATATTTAGTTGTTTGAAGTCCATCAGTATTAAATAATTGATAGAATTCTTGTAAAGGAATCGCTAAATAAAATAACTCGATTGAAGATAACGTCGATTTCTTTCTTTTTTTTTATTTTATACAGTTATAATTACAATTATACCACTACATATTTAAGATACCAAAACTTTTACAATCACAGGTAATATAGATTTCGATTAGGTATCAAAAACTGTAACACAATTCATTATTTTATATATAGTGCATTTTGTTTTAGAAACCACTATATAAACAGTGACAATATTTTAATATGTTTAACATGATTGACTACAGCACCCCAAATATTGTCCAGCAAACTTAAGCTGTAGCAGGGTGTCCGGAAAGAAATATTCACAAGTCCACAGCTCACAATGCGCACCATTAGAAAAATAAATTATAGATGGTCTTAACCTAGCACGCTTAATTTATCTTGGCATGTGTTCTCTGCATACCTGGAAAACAATATATACTTTGAGATATGATATTTATCTAAGACAACTCTTTACAATTGTTGCTTACTACTTATATAGATTATTGAGACAATCTGATCCATTTGTTTTTTACTATTGAATATGTTGAGCAAATAGAATATTAAAAATATCACAGATGGCATTTCCGTGGTGTCATTTATTTTCTAAACTATTAATCTTTTCTGCATTAGATTCTGGCAATTGAGTTTTTCGCAAAATTAGCTTTGGGACAAATATGGCATTGATAGCTCTATTACATAGCTATATTGACAAAGTTAGCTCGATTTCCAATAGCTCCCTGTGTTCAATAGATAATGTATTGAAACAAAAAGATCTGACAACAAAAACTTATCATTTAAAAAATATGAAAGTATGGTATTTTATTCATAGCTTGTAATCCCAACTACATATTTACCAAACCTGTTTTCGATCCATTATCACGTTTTTAGTTTTTGTTTTTACGTAAACTTATATCATTATAAATGTGGATAAAATAAACAATGATAAGCCAATTTAATACATTGTTCATCAGTTTTCTCTTTCCCAAATGTGATGAGTCTTTTGTTTGTCATCAGCCCCTTGTGATCTATTAAAAGTGTATATATTCGTGTAAAGTAAATTTTATGTTATATAGGAAATTTTACTGACAGCAGTTGAGCAAGAGAGTGGTGCGTAGCTAGACTGCGGATTCGGTGGGCTCTGAAATGTGTTCATTTGCATCTGTGAGGGATGCGGCGGCGGCGGGTGGGTTGCGAGGGGAGATACGGGGGGTGCCATCCCACCGGCCCCCCCGCCCGCGTTACTTGGACTGCCAGTTGTTGAAAGCCGTGAGAACGCGGCTAAAGCGTCTGGGAAGTTCGGTGGTGTCGCAGGAGTATTACACGGCGTTATCAGTTGCTGAAAAGAGGCCACAGTAATGATTAATCTAATGCATTTCTTTGAAAATTTATATGAAGCATATCATTCGTTAGCACATAATTTCAATAAGAGTATATGATTAATTTTATTTTTTGCTGGTTTTCTCACACAAGATTCAACTTAATATGCAATTTTTTTGTTAAATAATTGGCAAAATTTTATCGCCACTGCAGGATTCAAGTCTTCCAGGTATCACATAAATTTTATAACAATCAAAATATCAGTTAGGATTTATAAAATAATATTTTAGGAACCAGACACTGTGGAAATGACTAGCTTTTAAGTTCTCATTTCCTAACCTCCAATTCTGGCATATGATAATTTGGTTTAAACTAATATTTACAAAATATTCAAAATGCATGATAATCTCAAAAAAAAAATAAAACATTTTCTATTTATTTTTAAGTTGTCATTGCCAGGTTTAATTGATTTTTGTCTAGACACTTAAATAAAAAAAACATTCTCAAGACAGGATTTTCTGAAATTGTTTTAAACAGACACAGTTATACTGTTGTACAAAGAATAGGATTATAATTCCTGGTTATGCAGCTTGTCGTTACCATCGCGACAATAAATGAACACACATATAGGGGATAACTTTTTGAAATTGTATTAAAAATTTACATTCTTTAAACATCAATATTTACAGAGTTATTAAATTTTCCCAAACAAAGAATTTTAGATCACCCTTACGTATAAAACTGTAATGTAAAGTTCATTTGTAAAGGTCACAAAGCATATGAATGGGTTGAATGAATTTAAAAGTTTAATTTAAAAGAGACAAAACATACTGTTAGAAGGAGAGGCTTGTAATGCGACGCTGTGGCGCGAGTTGTATAGGATGTTACAAATTTTGTTTCTTTTTTACTTAATTAGTTTGTTTGAAAAATATTTTTTTTAAATATGCATTTTGTTTAAGGTTAATATTTTTTTATGATTATTGGCAAGTAGCGTTAGATGTGTGTTCATTTATTGTCGCGATGGTAACGACACGCTGTATATATCTTTATACCATTTTGTTTACGTTTAGGAGACCAAAATATTGGAGGTGAGGCAACCATAATAAAAAATAAAAGACAGTTATTTTATAAATACAATTTTTTTACCTGATGATAATGAGGCGCTGCAATACCATTAGCCCCAGAGGGTATAGCAACTTCTTGAAAGAATATTGATAAGGCTGTCTGTAAACAGCAACCACAAAAATATTAACATTCAAATATAAATTGTCACTAATGGTAGCTTACTTATGAACATATAAATTTTTATGAACAACTAGCTGGCAAACATTGCTTTGCCGTATTATTTCTAGGGAATTTGTGAATCTTAACACAGAAAAAGAATATTCGGAACACACCCATAACATTCTGTTTGACAAGTAGGAACAGTTTGTATGGGAAAATAAAATTGTTGCAATTTAGATTTTCCATGCAATTTTTACCTTCCGTTGACTGCCACAAATATTTCAAAACCAAAATTAGCCATATCGGTCCAGCCGTTCTCGAGTTTTAGCGAGACAAATGAACAGCAATCCATTTTTATATATAAGATTTTGCCGTTTCATAAGAACATGCAATGTGAATAAAGATATTTTGCATTTGAATTTTGTTTAATAAATTCTAAAATAACATGACATCTTCTTCTTCCAAGGCAGTTGGCGGTCCTTATGATATCGCCAATGACACAATAATGGTAAAGAAACAAATGGTTTCAAATATCTAAGAAAACCTTCTGGTTGTTTATTTTTGCCTGACTTTTATAATGAAATTATGAAGAGAATGATTTTATGAATGTTTAATATGTATATTTTTATATATAGAATATCTAAACAAATTTACATAATTATAGCAATTACCTAGAACAAAGAAAATACGACTGTAATTATTATGCTAAGTTCACAACTTAATATTACAACTATTAATAAAATTACATAAGATATAAACAAATGAAAAATTTACATATGTTAAAAGGTTATTGATGTTAGATGGACGAGGGATGTTAGAAGGAAGATGATCATGGAAGGAACCTGGAATTCTAGGATAGTTGAAAAATATATGATCTGGTGAATCATCATCTAGGCCACGTTCACAGATACAAATATCTTTTATTCTTAATTTGGCAAGATGAACATTAGTGCAGACATGCCCAAGTCTAAGTCTGCAGACAATTGAGGTGGCATGCTTATTAGCTTTAGGAAAATTAAAGAACCATGCTTTGGTTGGAATATCAGGTTGGATTGATGCATATTATTTCACTCTCTCCCTACTAGATTTATTCCAGAGCTCATACCAAACACAGTTTGATCTGATTTTAGCATATGATAATAAATCATGAGACAAACAAGTATATTGTGATGTATAATATATATAAGCAAGCAATATAGTATAATATATATAGCAAGTATATATAGCCAGTTTTAATTGCTTCCTTGGCACAATGGTCAGCAATTTCATTTCCTTGAATACCACTGTGCTCAGGAATCCAAGCTAGAGATATCAATATTCCTTTCATATGACACCTGTAAAGGGCAGCTCTAATCTTATAAATTAAGGGAAAATTAAGTTTATAACGGAAGAGATTAGCTAAAATGGCTTGCAAACAACTTTTAGAATCTGAGAAAATTATAGTTTAAGTCATGAGATTCCGCAAATAGGATAGCCTCAAGTTTACCTGTAGCCTCACCAGTAAAAACTGAACTATAGGGGGACATTTAAAATTAAGTATGATTTTATACTTGGGAAAACATACTGCAGATACAACACACCCCAACTACATTTTGGAAGCATCTGTGTACATTACACAGATATAGACATTATACACAAGAGCTAGCTTCAAGTGTCATGGAGCCAATCTAGAATTTTTCTCAATTTCAATATCAAGTAAAACACTAGGTTGATATACCAGTGCTTCATAAGGGGTATCATATAAAGGATTCATTTTGCATTGGTATGTAGGACAGGGTAATTGTAGAAAATTGAGAAAACTATTAAATATACAAGGAGAACTTTTGTTAGCCCAAAAGCCTCCTGTTGATATATATTCAGAAAGTAAATGGAGTTTGGCAATGAGAGGATGATTATAATTTTGCAATGCCTTGAACATGAATCTGTCTGACAAATATTGCCTTCTTAAATGCAGGGGTGTATTCACACATTCCACTTGAAGAGCATTCCTAGGGGATGACTTTATAGCTCCAACAATTATTCAGAAACCTTTTGTTTAGATTTTATCTTATGAATTGAGAGCTGCTTTATTGCAAGGTTCTAAGAGAAAGCAGGCATAATCCATATAACTTCTAACGAGAGCATTGTATACTAATTTTTAGGAATATGGATGAAAACCGCACCAAACTCCTGGAGAGATCTAAAGATATTAATATTCTTTTCACATTTTTTGGTGACATAGTGTAAATGAAAATAACATGACATTTAAACAATAACATGGTAAAATAACATGACATAAGAAGTTTGACATCTAAAAGCTTAATTTCTTTGTATACCTACATCAGATAATAATAATAGGGCATAATTATAGTAACAGGGCTTAGTTTTGTAAAAATTGGTGCATGATATAATTATCAAAAAAATTTTATCCATAATTTATGCTTGATTACTGTGTCTTTAATAATCCTTTCATTATATTAACTTTCAAATGTTTGTCTTGATGTACTGTAACATGTTACAGTACATCAAGATTTTTATACAAATTTAGTACTAGTAAACAAATAAGTAATATATAAATTGTATCTGAGTTGAAGGTACTAATGCTGTAGTAGTATGTTGGACTTATCCAAGATTGCTAGTTTAAATCTCAGTAGTAATTTCAGTAATCTTACACTTGTACAAAGATTTACACAAAAAATAAAAGTATAAAATAATAAAAGAAAATAATGATGAAAATTATTTATAACTATAAAGTCTCCAATGTTTAAAATCTATTTATCAAGCCAAATATCATATCACCTCTTAGATTAGTCTAAATGTCACATGTCAGGCACAAAAATTTAAACTTTTTTTTACATGTAAGAAAATAAAAATGACAGTTTGGCACAATGCATCACTGATATATGTTGCTTAATACGGGTATTAAAAATGTTATTTTGCATAAATTAATAAACAAACTAAGTTAGTTTTGTTTGTTTGAACAAAGTATTGTGAACAATAATAATTGTTATATGATCAGAAAAAGCAATAAAGGACAACCAGTTTTATGTAATGACATGTTTAAAGTTTCTCTTAAATCAAATTAATTAAGGGAGTTATCAATTTTAACCTAAATTTTACAAGGCCATTAGTTGTAAGTTAAAGATACATTAATACATTTTTAACTTTTTGTTTTAAAACAATGATGGCTTAAATACTATGAGCTCTTATGGAAGCTTTAAGTTAATATAGGGTTGGAATCCTGAAAAGATCCTAAGATACGCGAGCCCAATTTGTTGTATGCAAAATTGCCCCACAACACTACATAATGTTATTCTTTTACAATATTTAGTTTTTTTTTTTTTTATTAATATTATGTTTAAAATTATAGTTTGGTTACTTAAGCGTTAAACTTTATAATGCTAAGGTGACCACCGTTTTAACTCGTGACCGCAATTTTTAAATCAGTTTCATTAATTGAATAAAAAAAAATACGCCACTTACTGCCACTTCAATTGTAATTTGTTATTGTAAGGTATAAAGCTTATTTACAAACTGCGCGCTGAGTTTGTCATTAGCAAAACGTAAGTAAGATCTATTTTTGACAGTCAACAGAATAATATATTTATTTTGTATTATGTATTACGACAACAAACGCAACGATAATTGTATTGTTTTCAGAAAATAAATGTAATCTCAAATTGATAGATCAGCGATTATTTTCACACTTAAATCGAAACAAATTAAATGTAGCAGCCATTTCATGATTTAATTGTTTGTTTACATTTATTACACAAATTTACCTCAAATTGCCAATGAGCAGCCTGAAGTAACTGTTTAGCTTGTTCTCGGGCGCATCCCGCCGCCAGTACGAATTGATTTATCATAACTTGTTCACGTAACGCTGAATCCATTGTATTTTAAACGCTTATCCAAATATAAGTTCTCAGACTATAAGAAATAGTAATAGCAAATAGTACTTAGCTTACTAAATGAATGTTTATTCTATTATGATCCGTCCGACGTAAATTTATCAAAGGCGCTAGTGGACCTGTGCTTTATTCACGAGAGTAAAAGAGAGATCCGAAGTTTACATAATAACAATATCACCTTCACAATGATAATGAGACAGATAATATATAGTATTACAATCAGCGATGTTTGCGTGTATACTTGCGTAGGTCGATTAATTCTTGATTTCTTATAAGTCGACCTGAGTGGGTTTGAGTTCAAATCGCCTCGAGATCGAGCTTACGCTACAAGCTACAACCTAATGTGTCGATGACATTGTTACTAAACGATTCGAACTAATTCGCAAGTTAATAATTCGAAAGTTGAATCCGCATCGAGTGAGCTAGTGAGATGCGTAATGGACGAAAAAGAGTGAGGAAGAACATAACGATTCACTCATTCGGTCTCGTCTCCAGATCGGTTAACACAACACAGTGTGAAATCGGTGCAAGTCTCTGACCCGCTGATTTTTTTTATAAATAACTAGCGACCCACCCCGGCTTTGCACGGGTGCAACGCTGAATGTTTGTTTTCGACATCGCATTAGAAACCTCTAAAATTATCATTGTTTCTCTACTATATTATGCATGAATTATATATATAAACCTTCCTCTTAAATCATCTATACTATTATATAAAGAGGAAAGATTTGATTGTTTGTATGTATTGAATAGGCTCCAAAACTACTGAACTGATTTCAAAAATTCTTTCACTATTGAGAAGCTACATTATCCCTGCTTGATAAAGACTATATTATATTTAAAAAAAAAATAGAGGTCCTTACTAAAACTCCAATAATGTTATTCAAGGTGTACAAAAATTACCTAGAATATTCTTTACATCGCGTGCGCTGCGAAAACTATTGATGATAGAATATAATAATGTACTACGTCTTTGCAGAACACATTATTATTTACAAAAAGTGTCGCGACAGCATATGTCTAACTAATATAGTTATGCCACAATAAGTGTTCTTTTATTTTAAAATTTTGATTGAAATGCCGCCGCTAGAAAAGGCTCTTTATTTTTATCGTGGTATTAATCCTTATAAAAATAAATTACTTCTTATTTAAGACTGTTTCAATATCTTTATATAACTTTTTGAATCATCAAATTCGGATATTCCATTCGAAAGATATCACAAGTTTAAAAATGTTAGTATATTGTTAATTGTTAAAATTGTTTAACTATTCAAACAGCTTAGTGACTGACTTAGTACTTCTTATAATTCTTCAATAAATTTTTAGTGGTAATTCCTGATCAACATCATTTTAAAATGCCCTAAGATCAAGATCTCATCTTTCTAGTAAAAGTTCCCAAGCGAGGGCATCAAAAATACGTCGTAATGAAGAATCTTTACCGGAAACTGAAAATCGTCTTACAAGTCGGAGAGTCAAGTAAAGTGTTTGCAGTGACTTGAAGAGCAAAATAATATAAATATACAAATTCACACCATGGAATCAAGCTCTGAGCGTTTCCAACGCCTACGAGATTAGAGAGAACGACAACAAATGTAAACGACTAGAGTTCGTAATCGAGTTTTAGCTCACAGTAACAGATCAGCTTTTCAATTCGAATTTTCAAGTCCAATTCGAATCCTTGAATAAGATCTGCTCAGTGTTTTGCCTAAAAATGGGTCGATGAACCAAATGGTATGTGCTGTGCTTCTGGAAAAGTTCGTCTCCCCAATATTGAGGAGCCACCACAGCCAATAAATTTTTTTTTGATAAATAATCATAAACCATCTGAACATTTTTAACCAACATCCGAAAGTACAAAAGCATCTTTCAAATGACGATGATGTTTGACGTGAACTTTAAAAATAGAGGGACAAGTATACAAGTCATCATCATCTTCCTGCCCCTATCCCACCTAGGTGGGGTCGGAACAACATGAATCATGTTGTACGCGGTTTTGGCCATATTTTTACAACCAGCCGCCTGTCTGACGTTAAACCTCCTTGGGAAACAAACACCCAGGTCAAATTACAACTGTGTAACTATCACGGTTCATGAGATACAGCCTGTTGACAGAGGGACAAACAGACAGCGGAGTCTCAGTAATAGGGTCCCATTTTACCCTTTGGGTACCGAACCATAAAATGGCCCCAGATATATACACGGCACGGTAGTCACGGCCAACTTAAAAGGGTCTCTGAGTTACACCGATTGCATGATCCACTACAATATCCCTTAATCGTCGTAATGGGAGAAGAAGGTTATTATTTGACTATTCCTCAGCAAGGTACATTGCGTAACAAAACTGTGACATGCATGCAATTGTATGCATTTAGGTTGATGGTTAGAGCTACCTGTTTTAAGCCATTGCATTATTACTGGGACTTATTAGGGTTCCGTACCCAAAGGGTAAAACGGCACCCTATTACTAAGACTCCGCTGTCCGTCTGTATGTCCGTATGTCTGTCCATATGTCACCAGGTTGCATCTCATGAATCGTGATAGTTAGACAGTTGAAATTTTCACAAACGATGTATTTCTGTTGCCGCTGTAACAACAAATACTAAAAAACAAAAAATATAAATAAGTGGGGCTCCCATAAATAGACATGATTTTTTTGCCGTTTTTATAGATAATGTTGACAGTAGTAGTGTTTAGTGTTTTTGACAGTTTTAGTGTTTTAGTGTAGTTTATGTTGACAGTTTTAGTGTTTTTGACAATATGTAAGGGTAATACTCCTATACTTCCATATTCAATAAAGATATTAAAACATGATTTTTATATCTTTATTCCAATTGAAGTATACCACTTCTATTTTACGCCGGTTTTCTGTGAGGTCGGTACGGAACCCATCGTGTGCGAGTGACTCGCACTTATCCGGTTTTTATTCAATACATTGTCGATATGATGGCAAAAACATATCATGAAGATTGAATTACATATGATGTTGTAATCACCAGAGACTGAGGGCTGGTGAAACTTTCATCTTAGAGACGCTTTAAATCAAGACATTGGCTCATCAAATACCTATCGGTCAACAAAAAAACCAAAGATGCGATGATTTATGTCCGAAGCTATGGGAGACCAGACTTATTTGTCACTTTTACGTGTAACCCCGAATGTCGGGTAATTTAAATGGAACCATTATCTGGTCAGCGGTCTTTCGCTCTTCATGACGTAATTTCAAGGGTATTTCATTAAAAGATGAAGAAATTCATAAAATTATTCACCAAAGACGAAATATTCGGAATATTTTATGTGTATGATAAATTTTAAAAATTTTGTTAAATATCCGTTTGAATTCCGTCCGCTAGTTCTATTAATAAAAGAAAACCACATCGAAATCCATTGCGTAGTTTTAAAGATCCTAACGTAAGGGATAGACAGACAGCGGGACGACTTTGTTTTATACTATTAAATAATATTTATTTATTAATATATATTTTTAATACGGGCCTTTTTATTTTCGAAGATTAATGATTTTCATTAGTCTTGTGTTTCATAAATAATTTAAGTCCAGTAAAATATATTGTTGTCATTATTTAATTTTTGTAAGTGGTTGTTTGATGTAGTTATGTCTTGTGATTTAATTACAATTTCAAACTTATTACTTTTCCTACATAATAAATAAGATGTTGTGTTTTATTTACATCAATGGTTTAATCCATTGTTTGCTTTGAGTGTTATATCTCGTAATTAGATTGAATAGACCTACCTATACGCGATTACAAAGTTTTTTTTTTCCAAACCACCATGTAGGTAAAATTGTTCTTCTTTCGTTAATTAAGGTCGTGGAGATGCAACGGAGTGGTCGGTCGTGTCGTAGTCGTGCACCAACTACGTTGTTTTTTCTGATTCCGCGGGTTGCTTAAAGGGGTCTATTCACTATCCTGCCCGGCAGTCTACTTTGTCAACCACCGCTTAATGCAGGATAGTGAATGTTATCGCATCCAGCACGGTATCCAGCAAAACCGAGCAGGATTCATCGTACATCCTGTAAGGGACCTGCAAGCTCCGCTTTCCGCTTACATTCCGCCGCGCAGGAGTGTCAGTGGTTTGGCGTCCTGAGTAGTAGACTGTCATTTTGCAAGAAAGAGCTTGTATTTGGAAGCCGGACTGCAATCCACCTTTTTTTTACAATGGACAACACCTGTTTATACATATGTATTAAAACATAAAGAAAACCGGTGTTTATGGGATCAAATATATCAAAGTTATAGTAACAAGCAATTCAGTAATGGGGCCTTGCTAGAATTATTTAAAAAGATGACTTTTTAATTGTTTCTTTTCCCACACCCGTTTTCTATTTACATCTAATAACAAAAAAAACATAGTAATGATAAGTAAAATGATACATAATGGTAACCCTTCACGTATGAGATATACCTGTAACATTCTGTAACCGGCCTCAAAGGAAAGCTGTATACCCGGTGCCGTAAATCCAGTCTCAAAATATATATAGGTTTTAGGTATGTTCAGGTCTCCTTTTGGAGACTTGATCGAATCGAACGACCTGTGGAAGTTTGTAACATTTAGTTGTTTTTCTAGCAATTTTTTGAAACTAAGATTGAGATTAATTCAGAACCCTATTACCGAGAAAAAGTAATTCAAAATAAATATTACTCTTTGTCATTAGGCAAATATTTATGTACCTAATGGTCATTCTTCTTCTTCATCGTTCGACTAATGAGAATCGTGACCATTTGCAACTTTGCAACTTGTCGCCATAATGGTCATAGAAATAACAAATTTATTTCAAGGAATTAATTGATATAAAATGCCTAAATCATACGTTACAATTCGGGCACCATCGAGAGGTTCCACGGACCTTTTGAAGCTGTCAAAAGAAAATACTCAAACGGTTTTCTTTTGACATCGTAATCGTACAAAAAAAAAGGCATATGTCAAAATATATTTTTGACACATGTAAATGTCAAGTCTGAATAATTTTTTAGCTCGTTTCGCTTTCGTCGCTTCGAAAAGATTGAAAAGAATGATTTAGTCATAACCCTCAATTTTTCATAGGTTTAAGTGCACTGAAATTATTTGGTGTGGGAAGAAGTTGTAAATGTGATAATCTGAATTTAAAATGAATAATAATTTAAACGTAGAAGAACCCTTCAAAAAAAGGCGACGGAAGAACATAGATGTAGCAGGTAAATAGAAATCTTAGAAATGGTATTTTACTTTAACCATATCAATTACTTTAAAGCGTCAAGCGTTGGACAGTGAAGATGCTTTAAAACTGAGTAGGTAAAGTTGGTATGTAAATAATATTAAAATATACTATAAATGTTCCAACAATGTCTATTTCTCATTCTTAAAACGTACGAGACGTTGTACGAACGTACAACGATCGATTTTCAATCGATACAGAATTAAAGCCATTGAATAATTAATAAGAGGAATTCGGTCGCAACGGCCAGTTATTATGAAAATATTAAATCTCAAAACTACTAATGCATAGAAAGAGCTGTAGTGGCTCATTGTCCGGGTGCTTGTTTTTAAATCGATATATTTGAACAACCTAATTTATTTTGATTGCTGAGCATGTCAGCGGTGAATCAAAATATTGTCAGAAAACCTCCATATTTACGTAATAATAACAAAAAAATTTTTCAAAGATATGTGAAGTCCACCAATCCGCAGTGGGGTTGCATGGTGGAATATGCCCTAATATCCTCTGTACAGAGAAGGCTTTTGCCCAGCAGTGGCAGATTTATAGCCTGTTACTTTACTTTTTTTCTTTACTTACAATCTCTGTATTTGATTTTAGAAATTGCTGTGTCTGTATTTCTATAAAAAGTCTTTATTTTACACATTTTTATTAGTGTTTCAAGATAAAAGATTTTGAAACACATTGCGTGTTCATTTTTGGAAATTTAATAACTTATACCATTTTACAGAACCACACAGTGATGATGCAGTGAAAAACTCCCTAATAGAAGAAAAATGTTTTAAAATTCGTAAAAAACATATTCCAAAATTCCGATTTAAACCAGCAGGAGAGAATGCATCTTTAATTGTAACAGCGGAGGAAAGAGTACCATTAATGCTCACTGATGTACAGCATCTACTACTGCATCCTTTGTTAGGAAACATTAATCTTTGTCAAGCACCTCGATGGTATGTATTGGAAAAATCAGATCACATAAGTCATATCACTTGTATGATATTAGAAGGTGTTGATATACAACACTGGGAAAAATATCATAAAAAACTGTTAAATACACAAAAAATTTTTAATCATTGTGTTGAACTTCTTACTCCCTCAATTTATAATGGTTCATTAGTAACAGAATTGGCATTAGTGCCTTTATCTGAAACTGATAAAGAATTGATCATTCAGAAGTATGGCAGCATGAATTTGGCTTTAGAGGCAAGAAAAGATTTAATGGCCATGATGAGGGCTGTATTTCCAATAGGTGATTTGGTACCTGATAAAATGGACCAAATGAGTGAAGATGCATTTCCTAGGACACAGCTCATATTATCTGCTTGGCAATTAATAGAAGAAAGCTATCCTCTACCTCTGAAAGGCAAATTGCAAAATGTTTACTCAGATTATATTATGTCAAAAGATAAATATAAACCAGTTACACCAAAGTCTCCTATGTTTGGATTGGATTGTGAAATGTGTCTTACTAGTGCAGGTTCAGAGCTCACTAGAGTATCAATAGTAAATGAGAATCATGAAAATGTTTATGAGTCATTTGTTAAGCCTTATAACAATATAACAGATTATTTAACAAAATTCTCTGGTATTACTAAGTCTATACTTTCTAATGTTGAAAAAAGGCTTGAAGATGTCCAAAAAGAAATTTGTAACTTATTACCGCCAGATGCTATTCTGGTAGGTCAATCATTGAATACCGATTTGCATGCATTGAAAATGATGCATCCATATGTGATAGACACAAGTTTAATTTTTAATTTTACTGGAGAGAGAACTCGTAAGCCAAAGCTAAAAGTGTTAGCTAAAGAATTTCTCAACGAAGATATACAATCTGGCAAAAATGGCCACTGTTCAGTTGAGGACGCTTTGGCTTCTTTAAAACTAGTTCAATTGAAATTAAAAAATAGTATGGAGTTTGGTGATGCTGTGCACACTAATAGAAAGCAATATAAAGAAAATGTAAAGATTGTACAGAAACAGGATTATGCATTATCAATTTTTAATCATATAATTGAGCAAAAGAAGACATCAATTGTTATTGGATGTGACAATATAACAGGGGATTATCACACATATTTAACACAAGCAAAGGAAAGCTCATACTCACAATTATTGAGAAAAGGCAAATTAAAAAAGGTTAAGTTATGTACTGTTGATAGTACAGATGAAGTTATTTCTAAGCTTTCAGAAACTATAAATGATTATAATCTTGCTATGGCTCATTTGAAATTAGACTTGAATAAAGGAAATGAATTTCAAGAAATGGAAAAAATTGATGGGTGGGTCCAAAATGTTTGGAATAATATGAAACAATCAGGTTTATTCGTTATTATTTTTGGTGGGACTACAAATAATAATGGTGTTGCAATGGTCCAAGTAAAGGATGGTACATAAATAAAAATTTGTTTTATTTGTAAAGAAATATTACACTCTTCAATGAATATGCTGCAACAGAAAAGTAGTTATGGCATTACACCCTATTGTAAACATTTATAAAAGTCATTATTTACCTTTTTATACTCTGAGGATGGACTCTCAAGCATTTTTTTTAATAATAAATGTGTCTACATCTTCAATATTTAAGCCTGAAAGTTTCGACTGCTGAACTAAGGTCTCCTCTAGCAATTTCCACTTCCATCGCTCAGAAGCGGCCTATACCCAGCAAAGTTACGCGACCTTATCCAGGTTATCTATTCATTTAGCGGATGTCAATCACACTGTCAACCGCTCGAAAAATTTACGGTAAATCTAGATTGCGCCCTGCCTATATCGGTAACTTTCGATCGTTTGCGGATCTCAATTCATTCCTTCTTCGATTGCCCGTTAAGCGATGCTGTCACTTTAGGAGGCACATAGGCTCTCCTATGTGCCTCCGGTGATCATCCGGTCATCACCGGTGCCCGTACCCATCACGCCTTCCGCGCATACTCAAGGCCTTGGACCCCCAGGACTTAGCCGACTGAGACGATAGCTACGTTCGATGACGCAAATCGAGCGATAGCAAGTCTCCGAGAAACCATCACTTCCGCAGTCGCAGACTCGGAACGGATGGTGAAACTGTCGGGCGACCGACGATTTAACTTTCCGCCCGACCTGCGACTGCTAATTAGGCAGAAAAATGCAGCCAAACGCGCTTTCGACCTATACCGTTCTGAATCGAACCGAACCCTACTTCGACGCCTTCAGCTAGAAGTCAAAGATCGTGTATCGGAACACCGACATACAACGTGGGACACTCTCCTAGAGGACATCGAGCCATCGCACACCGCCTACTGGCGGTTGGCCCGCAGTCTGAAAGCAGATCCCTGCGAAGCTCTACCGCCGTCAGTTAGACCTAATAGCGCTTCAGTAGCCCTAGATGACTCCGAAAAAGCCGAATGCCTTGCGGACAACCTAGAGCAGCAATGTACGCCATCGCGCGAACATATCGATACAGCCCACCTAACGGACCGTGAATCGAGACTAGGGCTGCGCTTCCACCGGAAGGCGATCCTTTGAGTTCAGTGACCCCCGAAGAAGTCCAAGAAATTTTTAAAAACTTAAAACCCAAATCCGCCCCGGGCCCAGATAATATTAATAACAAAATTCTTAAAGCTCTCCCTGGGCCGCTTATCTGTTTACTGACGACCATTTACAATACTTTACTCTCCAGTTGCTCCTTTCCGGACGACTGGAAAAAAGCCACGGTTATCGGTATTCGCAAGTCGAATAAACCAGCCAACCAGCCCTCTAGTTATTGTCCCATCAGCCTCCTCAGTTGCCTGAGGAAGCTCTACGAGCGGCTTTTATTAAACAGGCCTAACGAGCACGTGTTTTCCGACGGCCTTCTGCCGGCGGAACAATACTGCGGCGGACATTCCTGTCCCGATCAACTATTCCGCCTAATGAAACATATCTTAAAAGGCCTAAATCACCCTAAACATATTAGTACAGGGGCTCTTTTCTTCAATGTCGCAAAAGCATTCGACAAGGTCTAGGACAACGGCTTGCTTTACAAGCTGTACACACTCAAAGTGCCAGATAGGCTCGTACGCACCATCCGGGCCTTCCTGTCGAACCGCTCTTTTCGATATCGAGTTGAAGGCACCCTTTCCACAAGCCGCCGCCTCACGGCCGGCGTACCACAAGGCTCCTGCCTCTCACCTTTGCTTTTACGCTCTACACGAGCGATATACCTAAAGACCCCCACGTCAATCTCGCGCTTTTCGCGGATGACACGGCGCTCTTTTATTCAGACCGCAACCTTAGACAACTAACCACTCGACTCCAAAGCGCCACCGACCGCCTCGGCGATTGGTTCCGCAAATGGAGAATAGAAATAAATCCCGAAAAGAGTGTGGCGATTCACTTCACACAAAGTACTTACCCGTCACATCTTTCTAATGGCCCTCGTCAATGCAGAAAATTGGGGCAAATATCCCTTTATGGCCAACCGCTCCCCTGGTAGAAAAAGTTCAAATACTTAGGAGTCACTTTCGACTCGCGTATGTCATTTACTACGCAAATTAATAACTTTCGCAATAGATCCGCGTTCGTCTCCGGCCGGCTACACAATTTAACTAACGCTGAAAGTAAAATGCCTTTAAGGCACAAATTATTATTATATAAGACCTGCGTACGACCTATTATGTCCTACGCATGCATGACCTTGGCCCACACGCACCCAACTCGTAATAGTACAAAATAAGTTCATCCGCCGCAGAACCGGTGCGCAGTGGTATCAACGCAACGTCGACCTGCACAGCGATTGCAGACCCGACGATTCGCGAATATTTTAAAGACCTGAAAAACCAAACGGTTCTTCGACAGAGCCGAACATCACTCCAACCCTCTGGTGGTAAGCGCAACAAATTACCAACCCGACACAAACGCCAACGTCAACAAGTGTCGCCCGCGAAACGTCCTCATCGACCCGGTCGAGGAAGGGGACTTAGATACGCCGGACCCACCGCCGGGGGTCCCGCCGGATAACACTACACCCACAGTTAGTGCAACAACAAACACACTAGTTCGCCCTCGCCTCCGAGCACGGCGAGACCAACACAACATGTACACAAGGTACACCCGCGTTCCGGGGTGGTTCTCACCGATTAGCTAATTGCACAGTCGACGGCCAACGGGGTTCCGGTCCGAACTGCGACCTCGATGGCCCTTAGATGACACATCATACTTAAACGCACGCATGAGCACATGCGTGGCCCTACCCACAGCAGAGGGCCCAAACATAGCTGGTTGAACGCTGCCTAACTGAGTTGATTCCGCCGAGTGACTTCTTTCTCGAAATTGGACCTACCTAGCTGGACTACTTGTTCGTAATAGACATAAATATCACCATCATCATTTCATCTTGCTTGAGTCCACCGCTGAATATAGGCCCTCAGATGGCCGACATTGCCGAATTTAACACAAATCGTAACAGAGACTGAACAGGAAAAATTGACATGACCCAGCTTAATCGCGTAAATGGTTAAAATGTATTTAGGGGAGAAAAATTGTTTAAATCATGTATTTAATGCCATAGAAACAGTATATTTAAATGGCCAAGTGATAACAATCTGTCGGGTTATATTTTCGACGGGACAACAAGTGAGCTCTTGTCTGGAAAACTGTAATTTCACGCTTCTGACGTAAAGTATTTGTACATCCCCTATTGCAACAAACCTTTTTTAATTTCTAACAGGCCCCAAAAGTCTTTTGTGGCCTAAGGCCCCGGTGAGGCCTAAGATGGCATTGATCACGAAGCAATCCTGAGCCATCTAAATGTGTTGACTTTCCGCACTAGTGAACAGGTCATCAGTCAATCTAGTCTACACCATGATGCAAGGCCACTCGAGAACCTTTCTTCCGCTTTGGTTATCGTTTATTCGAGCTAAATAACCCGCCCATTGCCACTTCAGCTTACTGAGCCTCTGAGCTTGATCAGTTACTGCGAACTCTATCTCGTAGAGAAATACCTTTGTATTAACCTCAATGGCGAATATATCACACCCCTATGATTTGCCGACGACATCATGACAGAATCGCTGGAGGATCTTGTTACTATGTTCAATAATCTCAACAGTGTCTCCCAACGCCCACCCGTTAAGATGAACATGGACATGACGAAGATCCTGTAGCCATGGCACGCCTATACCGCTACCGGAAGCACTGTGCTCAAAATAGAAATACTCGTCAAGAATTTCGAGGACTAACCCCCAAAAATACTGGGGTGGAAATTACACTGCACTCTTACGTACCTAAAGTTAATTTGAAATTTTAAATTATTTTTAAACAAGGGTAGATTTCTAAAATTGTAATTGAAAAAAAAGCTGAAGTATGTCCAAAAATATTACGTTGGTCCAGTACCAACGTAATATTTTTAAACATTGACGAACGCAAATAAAACATGATAGCCGCACATTCATACATGACGTCATTGATAATAAAAACCGACCAAGTGCGAGTCGGATTCGGGCACGAAGGGTTCCGTTATCTGTGAAAACTGCAAGAA